TGACGCCTGTTAACTTTGGATGAGCTTTGGAGACGCATAGCGCAAAGGCGACTGTTAATGGGAATCCAGTCAAGAAGGACGGCTTCGACTCTGGAACTAAGGGCAATCCCAACACAAAGTTACCCAGCTGCAGTGGACTCGGCATAGCTAGAAAGGCGAAGGAAAAGAGTGTATGAGTGGACAGTTGGTAGACTGTCTTGAAGTCGGGTTACAGATAAGCAACACATATCTATCACAAGAGATGCTAGAGTGAATGTGAGACTGGCTATTTGTCTAACACGCATTAGGGTGCGCGCGTTGAACGCTCCCAAACTGAACTGTGTTTTGAGTTGAAGAAGAGGGGAGGGGAGTATGGGATTGTCTTACCTCGGTTTGAAGGTGTGTGGTTAGTATAGCGAGTTTCATCAGAGAGCGCGGTGAAGTTCATAGATGAGGGGTTGGAGAAAAGCTGGGGAGAATGACGCACAGGAATCGAAGTAGGTGGTGGGTGATTGGGAATAGTAGCAGTAGCAGAAGAGCAGTCCATTAGCAGAGCGAGCGAGTATTGTTAAATTCAGTTACATGGTTCGTCAGTAGGCGAGATACTACCCGGTTGCCTAGGCCGAAGTAGGTGGGTTATCTTAGGGGACCACGGCCCCGAGCCTTTGGCCAAATGGCCTGACCTACAAGGCAGCAGGACGTGATAAGAGTTTTGCACTAGTTGGGAGCCGGTGACTGAACATTCAACTCATACGCCTTCTGAATTGTGAAAGCTATACCAGGGGCCAAACATTCCCGAAGTGAAAGGCAGAATCCGATGTTCGGATCGCTTGCCGGTATACAATATCTTCGAGAAAGATAAGGGCTAGTTACACTATTTAATGGAGTCCTCCACCAAGTCGCAGTGTTGTTAAGCAGACGCTTGTGGCTTTCTCTAGAGAGAACGCTTGTCAGACGTAAACCCACCACCTCTTGGAACACTGCCGCGGAGCCATTCGCCGGAGCTGGAAGCACCCGAACCCTCCAGCTGGTACCACGAGTAGGTTGTTCGACAAGCCCATAACATATTGCTCAATTGATTACCAGCCACTAGCCTAATCCTCCTCACATTTTCAGCTTCAGGTTGCTAGCAAATGATGCTCTACCAGAGTAAATCAAGGGGCAGTGACTTTATTTAAAGGCGATTCACACCAGCCCCGTTGCCTTGCTGTTAAACAGGTATTTGAGGCTGCCCTTCATCTAATCACCCATGACCAACCTTTGTTGGATTAATGTCTCATCCACCATGCACTGGTTATTACACCGATCACAAAATATCAAACATTCATTACCTGTTGGAATTTAAAAGAAAATACTACTGCTTGAACAATGTAACCAGACAGACCATTAGACACGAGCTGCAACGGGGTTTACGTGCTGACAAAGAGCTTTGACAGACCAACAGGTCTCAGAAAATGTAGCGAACCGGAGCATTTGGCAATTATCACAGATTCTTCCTAGTAATCGCTTCACTGGTCTTTAGCAATTGTATCAGTGAGACAATCAAGAATGGTATTGGTGCACTAATTCACAATAAGGAACGTCGTCTGGCTTATTGGCGGCGCGCTTTTGGGAGCAGTTCAGTTTGCTTCCTGATCCTGGGCCTCTTTCTACTCTAGTGGTACCTCTTAAGCCATGAGTGATTCGTTTAGTGGCCTATCTTGAGCCCGTGTTTGAAACGCGAACATGTCCCCTCCATCATCATTACACATGTTTGCCGGAGGTGGGAAACACCTCAGCTACTGTACCGCAATACATAAAAGAAAAAAGGAAAAAATGCAACAGATGCATGCTAGCTGAGCTACCAGTAACGAATGAGCATCGTTCCGGAAAGCTACCGGCGGCCGAGCCAGCGAAGCGGCACAGTTCGTCACGTTTGTTTATTACGCTGCACATGTTGGCGAATGCCACACGGAGATCTTGGGAGGCACAGCGGGACATGCCTGGACGTTGAGCAACCGGTTGATACGGGTTCGAAAATTTGCAATTCGTAAGTCAGTCTCACCTATTTCTGTACGGCGTTTTAGCTCAATGACCGCCGTCTTCAAGCGATCCCTGACTTCGGGTTCCAAGTCTCGGCGGATGTGAACTTTTATGCCTTTCAGTCTTGATAGACGAGACAGTATGAGCTGCGGCATATTGTGATTTACAAAGGTGATTCTCAGTGGTCGACATGACTGGTTAGCTTTCTGGCCAAGTCGGATTACTTGTTTAATCGGCACACCGTCTTCACCCACATCCAAGAGTCTATCGATGAGTCACCATTATACACGCCAGCTAGAGGTGGGGAACACCTCAGCTACTGTGCCGCAATACATAAAGTCTATCGATGAGACCCTGGAGAAACTCAACATCGTGATCATAGCGTATCTGAGGGTTTTCATCTTTTGACTCTGGTACGTGGAAGACCATGAGATTATGACGCCTCAGCAAAATCGGTGATGAACCTGTGGAATCAGGACTAGTGGCGCTTATCGGTTTGGGTTGTTTATCAGCAGGGGACGCCTGAACTCGATTACCTGGCCCTTTGCGCTTTTGTGTGGTCCATAGATCCTCGATGTTCAGAGGTTCACAGGCAGGCTCTGAGAAATACACGGACCGATAAGTGAAGCGGCATTTCCTTGGTTTCGAGTCTGAGTCTTCAATCGGCGAGACTCGGCCGAGGTCGAAGATGCTGGTGGTGATGCAGATCGCGGAGTGTTAAAGGAAGGCGAGGTGACAGAGGTACTTTCACGAGGGCGTTTGACCCCACGTGATGAACAGTTTGTTTCTGCCTGGAAGTAAGTTTTCCCGTAGTTGTTTGCGGTCGCTGTGCATTCTGATGTCTTGCACCGCTACTTTTATCACTTATAACTTGGAAAAACCGATGTCGGATATCGAGAGATTTTCGAAATACGTCAACGGACAAGCCAATGCACGAAATCTGGAACAAAACATCGCCACCGAAGCACTGAAGCGCATGAGCCTTATGTCCAACAACTTTCGAACACGAACCACAAATAGCTTGAGACGGCATCACAAGATAGAGCAAATCCAAGATGGCGGACACAGATGGGAGTTGGGCCAATCAATGAGATTTCCAGAACTAGCCAAAGAATCTCCACCAACTTTGCACCGATTGGAAAATACACCAAAGTAAGAATATTGGTGCACCATTCACACAGAAAGAACACTTATAACACAGCAATCCGAAGCAAAAATAGTATCCAGCACACGGCGAGTCCTAGGATGATCTGCTACTGAATTTTATAGGGACCACTAATTTGCTCACATAATTCCTAATCGTAGTCCCGCTGGCTCGTAGTCTAAAGCTAACGAGCTTGTCTTGTAATCTGGCGGCGCAGATTCGAGCCTGCGTAGGGGCGGGGCAACGCTCGCAGTATCCTCAGTCCACGTGCTACCGGTGATGGTTGCGTTGGCACTGAGTACCGGCGTACTGCTGATGACTTCCTGGTCCCACATGCCTATTTTTGGATAGGTAACAAAAGTTATTAAATACCCTATGGAATATATCGCACTCATAAAATCGTTGACGCCGCTTCAACCACCTGGTTTGTGACGCATAATTATCCAATCTGGCGATTTCATTTCTTGCTCATTTCTCGTTATGAAAGTAATAATTTGTGTTTTTAAACGTGTCACGCGCCATTAACTCGATTGAACTGGTACGGGCGTTAACTAGTTGGCATGCGGATTGTGAGCCGATTCAGTTTCAGCAACATGACCCACGCTTGCAAACCGATTACGGGGTTCCACCTCCCATTCATTTCTGTTTGACCTTGATGTGTTTTCTGTACCTGTTTTGCTGTGTCCATGACCTACTACCTCGGTTTCACTCAGCTAAGCCCACTATTAAGCAATGCAAGCCGACGCAGCCGGCTTGCAGGCATACGAGGCATATGACCAAGCCATAGAAGATGATCTAGGTACAACAGATGCACCAAAGCGACTCCGGAGGGTTTGTTGTGGGACGCTGTATGAGGTCTGATAGTATCAGTCTTTGACTTGGCTGCATCCTTGATTACCTAAACAACTTAATAAACGGTATATTGTACATTGCGAGACAAACACAATCTAACCGAATACTCTGACTTGATGCTGTTGATCCGCTTCGCTTTCCTTGTTGCGACTCGTTCGCATGAAATGGCCTGCGGTCGGTGCAAGTGGCGCATTGTCTGTTGTCTCACAAACAAGCTGCCTGTTCCCACGACTTTGTCATCCGTTGCATAAAGTTGCTATTGAGCAGGACATATCACAAGGAGGCTGTCGCATCGTTGCCGTTTTACCTCTACTGACTTTGCGCTTACACTCTGAGTAAGAGGTGGACCCGGTTTCCGAGTGGTCTACGCGCCTGATTTACAACCATAAGGTCACTGGTTCGCATCCGCATAGTGGTGGGCGTCCTCGCGGTACACTCAGTCCGCGCGCGACTTGTGGTCACGCGGAAGGAAGACGCTGTTCCGGCGTGCAGCTGACACGAAGAGGTTGGCCCTTTCATTATAAATGTTTGCTAACTGTATGCTCTCTTGTATTTCGACTAGCATGGCCAACTAATAATTCATGACTTTACGATAGAGCGTTAACATCGATAATGCTTAGAATGCATACGGCCCTTCAACTCCTTTGCTCTTGGGGTTTTTTGTGTCTGTGATTATTGGTTCCTTTATCAAGCCTGTGCATCCTTTTGCTATTCTCTCCAACATACGTTTTTGTTTTATTGTGCCTATTTTTCACATTCATCACTTGTTATTGTGGGAAACATAATTAATCCATCGTCTGGACTTCGGGTCTCTTTCTTAACAGATGATGTGTCAGTTGAGTCCAACGTTAAGGCCTACTTTTCTTTTTCTTTTACCCATGGGATCCATGCTCTTCCTCACTCTCTCTCATTATGCCTAAGCTTTTTAACTTTATTGTACCCTTAAGTTTTCCAAATTCCTGCATGTGGTTCTCCTCTTTGATTGATATTTTCCTCCCTCCAGCCGAGCTGTCGCAGGGTTGCCGCGCACTGTTCAACTCTATTGGATGCTCTCCTTATATTCAAAACATGGTTCATTCAGAGACAAGGTGATCTGGATAGGGATGTCGGGAGCATACCATCTCAGATCGGACTGGAAGATCGGAGGAGCCAAATGGGATCTGTCTCGGAATCTCACATGATCCGTGGTCCGGATGATGTCCTAGGGTTGTCTCAATCTGCCATTCTATCTGAAAGGGACTGGGCTTTGAGACGCATGAGGCAAATGGAATTGCAGGTCTCTCGTTTGCGCAGTGTGTGCTTCGCTTTGCGCACTCAGTTGGAAGCCGGTCTACGTCACAAAGCGGAAGTTGATCAAGTGAAACGTGAATTGGAAATGACACAGGTAAATTTTCCTTTTGACAACTTTAGCTTAGTGCTGAATTCACATCGCTCTCCGTCCTTTCAATCTTAACTACTTACAATGCCTGGTGTGCCTGTGACAGTCTTCCATTTGGTGATGTATCCGGACATGTGGCATTATCAGCTTCTCAAAGCCCGCATGTTTCTCATGTCGTCACCCCGACCATGTTTTTGTGACTTGGTACTATTTTCAAAGTATTGGGCACTTAACTGAGGGTTGTCATTTTTTGCACGTGCTCATCTCCTGCACTTATCAAGTAGTTTGCATTTGCGCATCAACCAACACTTCGTTTGTACCTTCTCCTAATTGGGCCACGAATACTGGTGTTGTTTGCTGACCTGGTTTGTTGGTGTAATCCTCTCGCATGTTTTCGCTTTCCTTGTTTATGTCCAATTGACGCTTCCTTTTTAACTTTATGCCTTTTTGAAGCTTTCCCATAGCTTATTTATGAGTATTTTCATCCATTTGTTCCCCACATGAGGATCTGTTACCACATGCCATCTTTCTAGTTGGAGTCCCCGGGGTGGATCACATTTGTGACTGTAGACCCTACCCGACGTATTATAGCTTAGAATAAAGCAGTGTTGCGTTCAACACAATTGTTAACTCTGCCCTTCGAAGATTCCTGTATTTTCTACTGTCTTCTCTGCATCCGTTCACTTTACCTTACATCTTATTGGATAAACTGAGCCAAAGTTTCGGGTTCCGTTCCTCGAATAAGTTAACCACTTCTGTTTTCTCTCCTTATCTACCACCAATCAGGATACCGTTTCTCACTATCGCAACATCATTGAAGAGGGGAACAAGTTACGGGAAGACTTACGATCTGAATTGGCCCGTGTTCGTAAAGAGGCATCGATGACGCGTTCTCATTTCAATGTCACGGCCCTCTCTCGGTCTTCCGAAGACGCATTTCACCGTTTGTCCTCACGATCCCGTGGCAGCACGCGTCTGTGTGATGAAGCCGATACAGCTGCCACCACCATCTTAGCTATTGGTCATCCAACTGAGGGTGCGTCTTCCGCAACGTCCAACTTTGCAGATACAACAACGCATCTACGTGACCAGCTGGAACGACAGATCAGGTGGTGTTCTGCTTTGAATACTGAGGCGGAGAAGCTGCGGGAAACTGTGCGCATTTTGTCTGAGAGGGTGAGTTTGATGTCGGTTTCATCCCTTGTGTTGTGATAAGTGATTTGGGGCACTTCTCTACGAACACACTTCATGTATTTTTACGTGCTCCGAACTCCACTGTCGCTTGTTTTTGCTAGCCCTAAATCATTAGAAGAGCACTTCTTGGGAATTGACTTTTGCACATCGTTCTTGTGAAACAGCGAACATTTTTTCGCCCTCACTATCTCTCCCCCTTTTGCGTCTCTTATCCCGCATTTTGGGGCCGATCACTACTATATCTGAGTGAAACACGTCAATTTTGAGAGCTGACTGCATTTTACTCGCTCTATCTTTGGCTCTAGATAATTGGTACTGACGTTGGTGTGCACAGATATTTCCTCTACGATTTACAAGTTGGAGCGGGATAATTTGTTCAGAAAGCAATCCTCTTCTTGTTGACGATATCACTTTCGGGAGCTTTGTGGCCTGTTCTTTGGTAACGTTTCCCTGTGGCTACTTTGTACAGTGATTGGTGTACAAAATTTCATCACTCGACTAATAAGACAGATAGCCTTGGTCCAAATCTTTTGATCACCCTATGTCACCTCTTTTGGATATCGAAGTACATCCGCTGTTACCATCGTTTGGATCCGAAACATGGTCGCTGCACGCTGAGGACATTAAGAGACCTACTATGTTTGACTAGATTTGCTAATTATTGTTCAGACATCAGCAGTACGCCGGCGCTTTGCTGCTACGTGTGCACCGGTCGCGCACACCTACGCGGATTCGAACCGGTGACCTCCGGATCACGAGGCAAGTGTGTAATCCTTTCGGCCACCGGTTGAATAGCATTATTCACCGTATGTGAAGATATATGATGGCAATACTAAGTTCGTATTTTGGGGTTTGGAAACAAGCACTCTGCGCCTCCGTAGAATGCCTATTGAACTCGAATCACTAGGTGTTGGCTGGTTATGTCCTCTGCGTTCTTGCAGGCCGACCGATTCGGTGTGTATTGTTGACACATACAAGGTCTAGTATCAGTTGCATGAAACACCAAGTTGACCGGTAATTACATTGCAATAGAACAGGAGGAATCTCACTGAGACGCTGAGTCAGGTTAGTTCTTGTCGTTTTCCCCATGGTACTCGGCGATTTGATCTCTTATGGAATATGACATGGTCACGAAGTCTAACGCCCTTACCTTCATTCCGTAACTTTAGCTTCCTGACCACTCTGTCTGACACTTTTGTTTATTCCCACTTTCCTTTAATTATTATTACTATTGTTGTTATTTTGGCGACGTGGGTTAAGACAGCTGAGTCAGCCGCACCAGTCACAACTGCCAAGCGGTACTGAACATCTGTTCCGACCCGTTCTGCCTTGAATGACCCATCGACCGCTTTTCATGACGCACTCAACCGTTCTTCACAGATCGGTGGACTTCCCCATATTCTCTTGTGGCATTTGCTCTCTACTTCCTGTGTCACTACGTCTGGTTCCTTTTCTCTTTGATATGCCCCTCGTGCCTCCAAGGTAACAACCCTCTGTTTCAATACCGGACTGTTATCCCCCGGTTCTGATGCTTAAGGAATAGGTACCCGAAACGATTACTCAATTTGTTAATCTGGGTAACTGTCTTATCTTCATCGATCAGGTAACTGTGCATTTAAATGGTTCTTGTCGCTTTGAAGCTTCGCCGCTTGGTCTAGGGTCTATAATATTGATTTATGAAGCCTCATTTAGTTTGACCGAAACGTTTAGGCTGGGTTCCGTTGGATAACCCATTTCAGCGTGTCTGTAACACCTGAAACGATGTATGGCTAAAAGCGTTGAAGTCGACCGAGACTGTTGGTAGGTGGCAAAGACTTGGGGCACGGAGAATACCAGTGTGGTTGGGAGCAGTTTGTTCAGAAAGACAAGTAACTAAAGAGAAATAACACTGCAGCGCCGAAACTCTCCTCTTCGAATGTAATCAAGTCAATTCAAACGAGGCTTTATGCACTCAGGTAGGTGCGTTTTCAGCATGTCACACTATCACTACGAATGGCGAGGTATATGAAATTACTGTTGAAGAAAAAGTACTAGTAAATGTCGGAGTGGTGGAGGTCTACTTCAAAGGAATCTGTAGCCCCAATTGAGATTGCGGGTATTCCTTTACCTAATAACCACTGTATTTCAAACCAATTACCGACCATGTAGACTACACCGTTGGTCGGAACGTCTTAAAAAGCAGCTCGGTGGGCTACTGCAGCATTTTGATTTATTACGCTACCTTATCCCATGTACGAATTTGGTGTCATGGCTCTCGTTTTGAGACGAAACAGCGCTGCTGGACCACTCTCATTTCTCCCATGTTTGCCTAGATATGAAACTGGCTCGGTGATTCCCGGTCTATCTGCTGTTTTTAACACCATTTGGGGCACTGGACAGATGCCTTCAGACTGATGCCTGTCAGCAGTCATCACCATCTTTAAAAGAGTCAACGAACTTTGTGTAAAAATCATACAGGAATCAGCCGTTTTCTGTTGCCTAAAAACTTCTCACGGGCATCATTCATCGACGATTTACTGGTCCTGGTACTAGACGAATCATTAAAAGCCAGGCTGACTTCCTCCCTAGTCGTGGTTGCATCAACCACATATTTACTCTTCGTCAGGTGTTGGGGCAGAAGTGCACTTACGAACAACCGACTGTCATGGTTTTCCTTAACCTGAAGTCTACCTTCGACTCTGCTGACCGTGCCATCTTCTAGCATTGACTATCCTTGAAAAGGGTTTCAGGGGAAATTTTCTCCATCCCGTAATTTGTATAATATGGCTCATCAGACCGGGTAAGGATCTACAGGACTCTCCTGAGTTTCACCAACGTTGTCCTGTATTTCTTTTTCTCCAACTTTGTGCTCGAACTGGTCCTACGTAGCTTTGTCCCCTCAGCCTCTTCCGGAGAGGAAGTTCTGCCAGGTGACAGATGAATAAATCTCGAATATGGGAACAACATAACTCTCCTTGGGTCGGACACAGTGGCTGCGCAAACGCTAACTGGATAAACTGACGGGTAGTACTGCACTCTTTGGTGTGTGCTTTGCATTTTCAAACTACCATACAGTATTACAAGACTAGTCCGACTGATCACCGGGTTATATTAGGTTGTTCGGAACTTATTTCGTTTTTGAATGAAAATAAATGACGACTTTCTTATGGTGAATAAATATTTTATTGCATTACATTTTGTCCGTTCTGGTCCAATATCTTTTGCCATCTTTATAGCAGTAGCATGACTCCACCCTCATAAAAGGTTTGTCCTTTGCTAGCAAAAAATTGATCCAGGTGATGTTTGACCTGCACATTTGAATTAAAGGTTTTAGCGTCCAAAACATTTTTGTAGTGATAGGAACAATTAATAAACAGAAGGTGCCGGTTCTGGATAACATGGTGGGTGTGGAAGTGTATCTCATTTATGCTGTAAAAGGTTTTGGCGAATTAAAAACTTGTTTAAGATCTCGTAGTATCTTGGTGGAACACTGCACCTTTTTATTGATTAATTATGACATTTTCTGTTTAAGTGAATTATTCAGTTAGTCCAGATGATAACAGTACACTTGAGAATTGATCACTGTATTGTCCAGTAAAAGCTAAAGAAAACGATTTTTTGAAATCCCACCAGACAAATTGCTCCATCTTTTTTTGAAGTATATCGGCTTTCGAAGTGATTTGCGCCGGGTCATCTATTTTACTCCATGAGCTGTTACGTTTAATATTGTTTTAGACAACCAGTGATGGTGCGCTTCACAATGGATCATTTTCTTACGTTTGAGTAACAAATCAGCAACGTCAACGCGATAGCACAAATTTCTTTCCTTAAGAAAGAAAATCGTGAAGAAGGGATTGCTACACTGGCTACAGTCAAAAGGGGTCCTGACGCTTGCACAACACGGTTATATGCAAGGACACTCATGCATTACAAACTTGCTTGTGACGAGGCATGAGTGCTTGAAAGCATTAAGCAAGGGAAGTCTGTCGAGGTGGTGTTCATCGATTTCATTAAAGCGTTCGACTAGGTCAGCCATGAGGTTCTCCTTCACAAACTCAGGATGTGTGGTGTCGGTGGCTCACTGCAACGGTGGATCCGCGACTTTCTTGTTGGACGGAAGTGGAGGGTACAGGTGGACGACCATCTAACTGACTGGTACCCCTCTACAAGTGGCGTGCCTCAAGGCACTGTGCTGGGGCCCACTCTGTTCCTGATCCACATCAACGATCTACTGCAGCTTCTCCAGTCGCCGTGTGCCTTGTTTACGGACGACAAGAAGATTTGGAGAGAAAATAACGCTCCCGACGACTGTGACATATTTCAGCATGACCTTAACCGCCTATTCACAAGGTCTGCAGAAGTTCAGCACTCGGTCAACCCAGCCAAGTCTGTATTTATGAGCCTGGGGAAGGGTGCTGACGGCCGAACCTACAACCTTGATGACAAACCGCTATATCTCACACCTGTGAAGGACCTAGGTGTACTCTCGCGTTACGATTTGAAGTCCGTGAACAACACGAACGGGCTATACCGTAACGGACTGCGCATGCTTTGGGCGCTCAAACGTTGCTTCGGCACATGGTCTGAAGAGGTTGCTACTCGCCTCTTCCATCATTACACCAATGTTAGAGTACAGTTCGCCCTCCTGCTTTCCCATTACCCGAGACGAGGCACAAAAGACCGAACGGGTCCAACACGTTGCTACCAGGCTCATCCCGAGTTAACGTGGCTTGTAGTATGAAGACCGGTGCGAGAAACTAAGACTTTACACCTGGTCCTACCGCCGGGTTCGAGTCGACCTCATTATGACCTACCGTATTCTACATCTCGGTGACTTCCCCATGCTGAGGCTACTGGTGCACTTAGGAGGGCCATGCAGCACAGGTGGACACAGATACAAACTTGTCGTGCCGGATGTGAAACGTGTTCCCCACCCACTGCTTTGTACGGAGAGTGGCAAATATTTGGAACAGCTTGCCTAAACATGTGATGCAGTCAACATC